ATGTTCCCCCTTTTGAAATGGATTTCAAGTTTAATCCTTTTTAAATTTTTCAATGTCAGCTTTCTTTATTTTTAAAATCCTGTGTCTTAAAATAAAATGTTTACACATTCAATATCCTAATACAGATCTAGAGTTTCTAATATTTCCAACACAGCTAGCTAGAACATGGTTGCAATTGCAAAGAAGAGCATGGTTGTTTGACGGTGGTGATGGTGATGATGGAGAATAAAACAGCTCCCAAAATGATCGTTGATCAAAGATTTGTAATTTCAACATTCAAGGATATTTTAAAATTCCATCACACACATAGATAATTATTTTCTGAAGTTTCTCCATTTTTTGGAATAATTGGAATTGTTTTTGAGTTACAAAGGAATACATTTTCTTCTACACAGGGGAAATTCATCATGTTCTCACCAGCCATGTCCCCTTCAACCATTTTCTCGAACCATACATTTACAAATGCAAATGTTTCAAAGATAACTTTTGGGTTATGCATGGATTGATTACTATTCTTTCGAAAATGTTACTATGAGTAAATATCTGCAACATGAACCATTAAACAAACAATATAGTTTATGTACCTTCATTGGTTTCTTGTTTACAATTTTTTATTGAAACTATTATTAATTAATGAATTAATCTCTAATAAATAATTTAAAATAAATTGTTTTTAAAATTTCCTGTTAATGTTATAATACCACGTTTATTTTGTACCTTCAACATTTCTGCATAGTTCCAAAATAAGATATCCTTCAAAAAATAATTACATTTAAGTTTATTTGTAAAATAGTTAATACCAAACTTTTTAGAGAAATTTGATTAGAAGAAAATTTTGGATATTTACAATATGTTTTTGTTGATTTGCAACATAATTTCCTTTAAACTTAATGAATCATTAATGAAAAGGCTGGTAAATAGGCAGACACAAGTTTGGGTATAAACTGCATTGAAGTTGAAAGATTTGACAATTTAAAAATTATCAATATTTCGGAACTGATAGCTGTACTTACCCCTTTAAACCCCAAGTACATTTATCCTCTTATTTTATATTATTTGTATGCTGCTGCATTCAATCGACATCAAAAGTTTTATTTTTCCAAACATTTAGGTTATTGTTTGTTGTTGTTGTTGTTGTTGTTGTTGTTGTTGTTGTTGTTGTTGTTGTTGTTGTTGTTCTGTTTTCATTTGTGTTGTATTTAAGGATTTCAAATACCTATATCAATGATCTTATATACCAATAATACTGAAATTGACTCAAGACATGTGGAAGGAATGTTCAAGGAATATTTGGATCTGTTACTCAAAATTTGATGGGAGAGGAAATATATTGTTTAAGGAAGGACTAGGGTTTCATTTAAACAAATTACATAATAAATTAAATAATAAATACATAAAATGTCAAGAAGGCGGTTCATGTTTATTCTTGTTCCTAGCAAATAATAAAATATCTTTGTGGGAATAAATAAACTGAGCAAGTTGGAAGACACCCCCATACGTATCTGCTCTCGTTCCTCTACACATGCGAAGTTGGGACTCATCCAACTTAGGATCACAGTCTACAATATGAAAGACATGAACTAGACTGGGATCAGCAGCTCTGAAGATAGTTATATTTTTCGCTGCTGCCACAAATTTATCAAACAATTCAACATCTTCTTTTCCCCACCCATGTATTGAAATGTCAAAACCACCAACACGTTTTAAGTCACTTTTGTACATACTTGCAATTCCAAAACCAAACTGTCGCCAATATCCACTATCTCTGTTCACTAAGAAATGGTTTGGCGAGGTAGAAAATCCTGCAGTTTTGTACACAACAGTTGGATCAAATTCACTGTACACTATTGGGAAGTACACTTGCTTCCCTTGAATTGTGTTAGTTCGTATCCTATGCAAGGCACTAGAAGTGAATACCATATCTACATCAATGAAAAACATCAAATCGTCTTCAGCACATTGAGCTGCGCCCATTTCTAGGGCCATGGCACGAGCAAATTGTTCATTCACTAAAATTGACAAAAGACGCACATCTGGATACCTCCTCTGCAAATTGTTCATTAGTTTGATTGTCTCATTACTACTAGTTATTTCTTTCTCATGAGGAAACACAACCACAATTAATGACACTTTCTCATCATTCTTCAAGCACACATCTTCAAATACTGCAATGAAACGTTTGAAAGTTTCAATTCTTCCAGACAGGGGGAGAATGAAGTTGATTAACTTGTCTTTCACTGTTGGCGTTTTCTTTGGAAGATGAGAGCTGAGGACAAATGGAAAGGATTCTCCAATTTTAAGCAGCCCACTCTCAAACGCATCTTTAATTACTCCAGGCATGCCGGGCTTTCCATCAGGCAAATCTTCTACAGCAACTTCCGTACTGTCTTTGAGGGGACTTGCCACTTCCTCTCCTTCATATATTTCTCTTATTTCGAGATCTGAAAAACACAAAGACACATAAGTATTTATTACTTATTGTAATTATAATTAAAATTATTTGTAGAATTGAATAATCATGCATCTTATAAATCAAATTATCATTAGAGATGACATAACATGAAATATCAAAAAGGATATATTCCATTCTTCTAAAAATCTTGGGATATAACTGAGAATGATTTTGAATGAGATGTATCATGAAATCACTCAAAACTTCATTTTCATATTTTTCAGCAACATCACAGAAAGTTGGGAACTTTCGTCTGTCATTTCTGAATATGAGAAGATATAAGTATTCCTACGTTTAAGTATATATATAAGTATATAATAAGTAGCCCATATTTTTCTTTACATATATTGCTAGTCAAATAAAAATAAATAATTTATGTTGAAATCATATTTATTAATATTTAACTTTTTGTTACCTTTTACCTTATATTATTACCTTAATATATTACTTTTTGTTAATAAGGTTGAATCACAACATAAAATGGCAAATTCTTAAAACATTCTAAGACTTATTTCGTAAATACAATTAATTAATTTCTTACATTTCAATATGTAAGTTAATTTTAAACAATGGTAAAAATTACATTAATCAGGAGCATTTGCCAGAACTATGTTCAAGCAGATATGTCATGAAATGAAAGTTGAATTTTGGCCTACTTACATTTGTCTTCTTCTGAAGATCTGTAGAATTTGTACAGGAGGTAAATAATAATAATAAATGATAATGGCCATTATTTTGGTTTCATAAATACCTGTGAACTGTTGTTGTAAATAGACATGTCTCCTGACTGGCACTGTCATTTTGCGTCCCCGATACTTCTTATACATTAACAACATATCCAGTATGTAATCTGCTCCATAAAGAGGGTTCAGTCGATGATATCCATATAAAATTTCTCGATATTCAATAACACGTCCACGCTGCTTTGAATACATGTTAATCATATCCATTACCTGTCAACAAATTTAATGTGATTTATGATTTTAAGATAACATGCTATTTGCAAGAATAATTTTTAAAACAAACTTCCAGAACTCTGGATAACAAATTTCATAAATGGACAAAAAAAAATTTTAATTACTGGCATTTATAAACTAATTATTGCAATTTCTAAGATAAAAAAAATGTCATATAATAAATTAAATAGTTAACTTTAGCACCCACAGATAACCAGTCTAATAATACACATATTGGTCATTATTGTTTAAATCAGAAAATTCAAATTTGAAAGACAAAAACTACTAGGACATATGGAATATCTCTTTTGAGTTAAAAATGTAGATCAGAAGGAAAACAAAGATATCATGACAACTGGAAATGGGGAACAGAAAGAGAACATAATTAGAGAGATGTCAAAAAAAGAAAAAGAAAGAAAAATGAAATGAACCGATCACTTGATCTGAATGAAAAAAGCTAGATTCCTCAAAACAATTTTAAAATACAAGGCAAAGAAATGAGAATAGTGTTAGAAAATTAATCAAAAAAGAAGATACAGATATCTAAGCGAGTCATCT